CGCCGCTCCTTCATCTCCAGTTGGAAGCCGCCTCCAAGTCGAGGCGGCAGCATGAGTACAACGGGCAACAGCGCAGTTACCACCGCCTCAACAAGTAAGCAAAGTAGGGCAATCAAAGGCGCACGGAGCAGGGACAGTCGTGCTGTCCGGCGAGGCAGTGGTGTTATCATGGTACGGTAGCGATGCAGCATGTCATATGTACACACACAGTAGTACACCGGGCTACACCACACCGCCCTGCTGTCCAGTCGTTGTGGATCAAAGTCATACCGGGTCAGTAACCAGGTAAGACTTGGGTCCACACCTTGCGGATCCGCGTCTTACTGGGTTACTGACCAGGTATGACTTGGATTCAGAAGGACCGCATAGCAGCCAGCAGCAGGTGCGTGTGGCCATGTGAGTGTGTGTGGTGTCGGGGGGGGAGTTTTGCGTGCAGCATTAGCGTGCCATAATAACACCACCGGCTCAGCGGTTAAATAGCTATGTGACGACACCGCTGTTGGTCTACCAGCTTCGCAGACTGTAACACAGCAAAGGCGTAACCCGGGATGCTCAGATTGGCATTTGCGTCGTTACATTGCCCCCCACTTAGCAATGGACGTCCTCGGCCATTATTTCGAGCACAGGAGCCATCCCACCTCGCGCCAGTGCGCTGGTTTATCCATTACACCATGAAATCGCAAATTTGCGACTTGCTGGTTGCCAGAATCGAACCGCCGACCCGAAGTTTATTTCGGAATTCGTGCGGTCCCGTCTCGATACCATTGTAACACAGCAAAGGCGTAACCCGGGATGCTCAGATTGGCATTTGCGTCGTTACACAGACGATAACGACCGTGTGGCGTACGACTAACGACTAGACGACTAGACGACTAACGATTAGACGCCGACGTTCGCCGCACAAGTACACAAGGTAGCGCACGAACACTTGTGTTGTCCGCTGAGGTAGCGGTGTTAATTTGGTACGGCACCGATGCAGCCCATCACACACACACACACCACCACACCCACCTGCGAATGGCTGCTGTGCACGCCTTCTGGATGCAAGTCCTACCGGGTTACTGACCCCGTACGACTTGGATCCAGAAGGAGTGGACAGCAGCCACCCGCAGGTATGCGTGTGTGGTGGTGGGCGGGGGGGGGGGGGACGGGGAGGTTTGCATGGACAGGTACCGTAGCATAACAACACCACCGGCTCAACGGTCAGCGTTAATTAGGTATGCAGTGGTGTTATTGTGGTACGGGACTGATACAGTGCAGCACATATACACCACACCGGGGTACACCACACCGACCTGCTGTGCAGTCATTCTGGATCAAAGACTCGGGTGCACACCGTCCGGGTCCGGACCTTACCGGATTACTGACCCGGTACGACTTCGATGCAGAAGGACCGCATAGTAGACAGCCGCAGGTGTGCGTGCCCGCGTGAGTGTGTGTGGCGTCGGGGGGCGGGGGGGAGGGAGTTTTGCGTGCATCGGTAGCGTACCATAATAATACCACGTGTTGGTGCGAGCATCATTGTCATCATGGCAGCGGCAGGCCTTTGCTATGCGCGTGCGAATCGGGCCTTCCGTGTAGACCAAACAGAGTGTATCCGCTAGGCCCATGTGAACACATACACACCTGCCATACACACTAGAGCCGCTGCAGGCAAGATGCATTTGGAAGGGACGGACGAACGGTAAGATCCGTGGTTCCGGATGTGTCAGCGAAGGGGACTGCAGACACACGGCAGCGGCAATCCGGAAGGGATGACAGGCAGTCAGACGGTCAGACGGAATAGCGTGGGTGCAATCATATAACACGGAGTGACATGGGGGCGGGTACTAGTACGGTCACGACGAGGACCGAAAGGGGGCGGAAGTCGGGCCGGGAGCATACCTGTCGAGTGCATGGTGAATGGCAGAAGCCGCGGTGCCTGCATAAGCGCGCGATCGGCAGCAGCTAGCACCGCCGCATAGGCGGCAGGACGGTGTACTGGCACGACATCCGTCGTGGTGACGTGTTGCTGCGGCGTTCGTACGTCGCGTCCGTGTGTTAATAGGGCCCTCGTTGTCGACTAAGTGGAGCCCATACCGCATGACCTGCCACGGGTGGACAGCGGTGACAACATGTTAGAAAGGAACGGGATATATACAATATACAAACGGCTGGAAACGAGTGCATGGTGAATGGCAGAAGCCGTGGTGCCTGCACGGTCGCTCGGTCGGCAGCAGCCAGCACCGCCGCGTAGGCGACAGGACGGTGTACTGGCACGATATCCGTCGTGGCGACGTGTTGCTGCGGTGCTCGTACGTCGCGTCCGTGTGTTACTAGGGCCCTCGTTGCCGACCAAGCAGAGCCCATACCGCATGACCTGCCATGGGTGGACAGCGGTGAGAGCATGGTAGAAAGGAACGGGATATATACAATATATGAACGGCTGCAAACGTGTGTGCAGACACACGGCAGCGGCAATCCGGAAGGGATGACAGACAGTCAGACGGTCAGACGGAATAGCGCAGGTGCAATCATATAACACGGAGTGACATGGGGGCGGATACTAGTACGGTCACGACGAGGACCGAAAGGGGGCGGAAGTCGGGCCGGGAGCATACCTGTCGAGTGCATGGCGAATGGCAGAAGCCGCGGTGCCTGCATAAGCGCGCGATCGGCAGCAGCTAGCACCGCCGCATAGGCGGCAGGACGGTGTACTGGCACGACATCCGTTGTGGTGACGTGTTGCTGTGGCGGTCGTACGTCGCGTCCGTGGCGCTCGTACGTCGGGTCCGTGTGTTATTAGGGTCCTCGTTGTCGACCAAGCAGAGTATACATCGCAGGACCTGCGATGGGTGGACAGCGGCGACAACATGTTCGAAAGGAACGGGATATATGCAACACATAAACGGCCGGAGACGGCAAAGGCAGCGGTACGGGAATAGGTATACATGGCAGCATAGCAGCGTACGTGGAGCATCACAACTGCCAACACCGGATACACGACCGCCGTGCGGAAATAGAGACTGGCGGCGAAGAGCTGCCGAAGGGTGTCGGAGAGGCATGGAGGCACGCTAACACGATCACATATGTACCTGCTATACACGCCAGAGCCGCTTCAGGCAATAGGCATTTCGAAGGGACGGACGAGCGGCAAGAGCGACGGATGGGACCCCGTATGTGTCAGCGCAGGAGACTGCAGACAGACGGCAGTGGCAATCCGGAAGGAATGACAGACAGTCAGACGGTCAGACGGAATAGCGTGGGTGCAATCATATAACACGGAGTGACAGGAGGGCGTGTATTTATAATCCAGACACAAGACTGTGCGGGCAGTGCATCGCATCGCACCACATCTGATGCGCCGACACATACGGACGCCAACTCATCGCACACTTAGCGCGCGCGATGGAGACCTCGCAGGAAAAGCGCGGCATGGAAATGCTCGGCACCAGGAACCACGATACACGCAAATATGCAACGCATTGCAGCGACGATGCGTGACGGTTGTGCAGAAGCAGGGCCGGATATCGCGAAAACTCGCTATGTCGAAAAAGCAAGACAAATAATAAGCAGCAAGATGAACACCGGTAATACAGACTAATTATCGCGGCCGTTAAGCACTTGCTTAGACACGCAATATACATACATCTAAAATAAACAGTTCTACACAAAACATGTACAAGGAGAACTGACATAAAATAGTTTGCGCGTGCATAAAAAGAAACGACACCAAAGTTGTCGTACACATGTTAACATGACGTGATTCCGCGGACATCGTGCACACGTATGCGTGGACACCGTCACAACGGCGAGTCGCTATGTCGTAGTAAAGGATGTACGTAAATAAAAACGAAAACCGACACAAAACGAGGTCATGCAAAACAACGTATGTCGTACACTTGCTGGCACGTTCTCGTGCGACGGACAAGCACTAACGTGCCGACACGCACATATGTGCGTTGCGTCATAATGCACACTTACCGCGCCTAACGGAGGACACCGAAGAGAACAGCACGAAGGCTTGCCGGAGCAGCAGCTTCAACACATGCAAACCTGCACGACAGCGCAAAGGTCGGGTGAAGACAAGCCCGGTAATCGGGGCAATTCGTTATGTCCAACCATCATACACGCGAGTGGGACACGCACAGCAGAGCATGCTTCAGGGAGAGCGGGGAAGCGGCAAGAGGTGGATACGAATGAGACACGCACGAATGTCAAACCGGTACAGCATTCGTGCGTCAACACCCTAACTTATACCAGCGAAACCGGTCATACCGTTCATACACTCACCAGTGTAGATGCGAGGGACGCCGCCAACTTGTGTGGGAGTCGAACCCACAAGTGCACGGAATGCACCCAGCCCTGCAAGCGTGTCGTTGCGCGGCTAGACAGCCGCTCAACGCTGGCATTTAATGCCATCCAGGGGCGGCTAGATGGAAGTGAAGGGAGGGGACAGGTGCAAGCCATAGCAAAGTTGGACGACGTGCAGCGGACGGCAGCGCAAGTGGATGAACACGCAAGAAGGAGTCATTCCTGCAGAGCCGTGATGAACGTTGTTCGACCTTCTGTCTTGGTGGTGATGGTACCGGTGACGGTGAACGAGTCGTAAGCAGCGTACGCCATACGATCATTATCGTCTGCGAAGCTGGCGCTGCCGAAGAACTCGTCGTAGTTCGGCAACTGTTGCATGACGGCGATGCTGTCGGTGCACACCGGATAACTGCGGCTGCCGATTGTGAGGACGAGCGGGAGGACCGGTAGTGAGCCGACTACAGTGACAGAAGTGGGGTTGGGTGACAGGGTGGCCGAGGTGTGTGGACCATCCGACGTAAAACAAGGGCACTGCGGCTACGCTGCTCCCAAGGCCATACCATATCAGTTGTGTCGGCGGGCACCGTGGCCGCGGTAGTTCGCTGAACAGCCGCCTGGAAGGTGTGCACTCGTTTGGGAGGGCGTTTGCCGGGGGCACTCGCTGCTGCTACAAGCGAGCCGCTGAGGAAGACGCTATTCATATAAGCTTTGCTATTGGAGGGGCTGATCTTGGCACCATACACGTAAAGGGGCGTGCTGCTATCGGCCGCTGCTTGTAGCTGAGCGACGAAGTCGTCGGGAGCGGATTCCCTGATGGCGAGCTCCACGCGTCCGGCGTCGGGACTGTCACCGTTGCCGCACGCGACCCACGCCTTAAACTTGCGGAACGGCCCGCCCCGGAACATCCCGCCGTGTGGGATGAGCAGGAGGGCGCTGCCATCCGACGCGTGCTTGTCTTCGGGGCGAGCCCTGTCGCTGCCGACATCGTAAACGGGGAACCGAAGCCTGGCGCTGTAGAGCATTGGGACAGCGGAGGAGGGCTCCACGGAAATCCGCGTCGCTGAGGAGACTTTAAACTGCCCCACCGTCACCCCAGCGAAACGAGAAGTTATGAAAGGCGGCAGGGAAGCTGCATCCACGTTGGCGAACGTCACGCGGTGGCCGAACGCGTGGCTGCTCTCCAGCCTGCCGAGGATGACATCGTCAATCCCCTGGCCGGCGGTATTCACGCCAGCGATGAAGCTGCCGTAGCGGCTCTGGGCGCCGGCAAAGAGGCGGTCCTCATTCGTTTCTGTGGGGCCGGCCGTAAACGTCACATGAAACGTGACGCTCCTTGAATCCCTACGTGTTGCAAAGGGGCGTCAAATGGGGAGCGTTACACGATATTCAAGGTGCACGCGAGCGGCGATGAACGTGACGGAAGACATATGTGATTAACAGGCAGCGGCCAAATATGCGCGCCGGAGCTGATAGATGCGTCTATTTCGCACGATGAGAGGCGGAGCGTAAGTACCTTACTGGTGTGAACACGCTCTTTGCATGTAGCAGCTCGCTTACGTGGCGACGGCGGGAGGGCCGACCGTCGACGTGCTGCTCTGGGACGCAGCCGTGTCCAGCCTCTGACGCTTGGCGTCCGGTGGGTCGATACTACTGCGGGAGTTGGTCGAAGGTGTAGAAAGTCAGGAGATGGGATCGGATAAGGTTTGCATAATGCATAACGCAAAACACGGGACGCAGCAACGGATAACACGGAACAATGCAACGCAAAGGATGCGAACAGCGTATTTACGCACTAGAGCAACGCAAACCGACCTGCTGGTCACCAGGGTGCGACATCGCAGATTGTAGGACGATGTAGGCTCTAGGCGTTGCCGCTTGGGGTCCGGCGAATCCATCCGGCTGCGAGCGACTGATAATCAACAGGTATGTCTGAAAGCGGTGGAGGCACTTGGAGTAAGCAGGCTTGCAAAGAGGTAAGTGCAGGATAAGTGGGGAGAAATCGGCGCGCTAACAATTATACAACCGCGGCAGCGTGTCGTATAGATGACAGATGTCCGAGGATCGGCAGACGCGGACATTGCTTAAACGTCATCGCGTGATCCGTACTCACTACTAACTTATTGTGGGGAAGGCCATTGCGTCTGCGACCACACTCCCGCGGTACCCAAACCCTTCAAAGACAATTCCGATCAGCCATTTGGCTGTTAGTGGGAGGGCGGGTGGGCCGCTCGCACGGCAATCGAGTAGAGAGTACGAAAATAACCTAATGCAGTCATCGACAGCAGAAAACGTAAGCCTCCAGCCTCATGCCGACTCTCTTACCTACCATTCATATTCTCTACCTCGTTCCCAAGACTCCGCCGCGTTGCCTCTAGTTCGGCTCGTGCCACAGGTAACTTCGCTCGTCGCTA